TGTGTGTGTGTGTGTATGTATATATATATGTATGTATATATATATAAAACATATATATAGCAGTCTGATATAATTTACTCTTAAGATCATTTTCATTTTTATGTGTATAAAAGAGGAAATAATTCTAGTTATAATAGCTTCATTTGGGAGATGAGACTTTTAAACAAAAAAAAATCATTTTCATTGGAGTATAACACATTGTATATGACACAGGGGGGAAAAATCAGCATAGGGTAATTATTTGAGAATGTAAGCTTTGCAGACCTGGCCTCAAGGAGTATCTGGAAGGCAGGAGGACTCCATGTTCCTCGTAATTTTCCTCAATCCCTACCTCAACACTCCAAATTTGTACACTGTACTGTCTACAAGGGAGACTGTGAGACACACCCCCTTAGTCCCCTTTGCCGCCACATGGTGGCCCTGAAGTCCCCCTAGATGGAAATCCTTGAAAGTTGTTTCCATCATTGAAATGCTTCTCTTTAATGGGCAAACGGTCATCGTGATTTAAAATAAAAATTTCAATTGTAAATTTCACATTAGATATTTTATTATAGGTTGTATCACTTATTTTTAAAGAAGGGAGGGAGGTGGGAGGGAGAAAGAAATGATCGAATTTCTATAGACTGTGACTCACTTCCGAGTGGAGGCCCCACCCTGGTTCTCACAGCTGAGATGCGTCAGGAGGGGCCTGGAAGCCGGGGGTCCCGCTCTCCATCGCTCAGAGCTTTTTCCCCTTTGTGATGGAACAATGCCTACGATCGGCTTGGAAATTCTCAACCCTCAAAGCTGGCTCTTAATTTTTTTTTCTACTGCTTTCTTCTAAAAGCTACACATGTAATTTGAAATCGTGCATTTATTGCCCCATCTGATGGTGACACCTCTCCACTGTCAAAGAGTGTGAGGAGACAGAGAAAGACGTGTGAAAGCACCCCGCCCCCCGCAGGCAGCAGGCACCCCGCCCTCGTAGGACTGGAAGGACCTGAGCTCTGCTCAGAACAAAGGACACTGGGTAGTGACTGACTATGTTATGAAATATTTTCTTCACACAACACAACAAAAATACCTCCAGGGATTTTTTAACATCGTGTTTCTAATTTAAAAGAATTTATTTTCTGTCTTTCGCCCCAGCAGCTCAACTGTCGCTATAGCTGCACCACAGCGTTGGGCGCAGTCGTCTCTAAGTGCAGCTCTACCGAGCGGAGGGAAGCGTTGATGATACCACGGGGGCATTACTGACCCGTGGGCAGCAATACTCTTTATTTCTGTTTGCAGGCTATACAGTTTGATCCCGAAACCCACCTGCCCACCATTACCGATGCTTGTACAGGCTGTACTCTGTGTCTGAGCGTCTGCCCTATTATCGACTGCATCAAAATGGTTTCCAGGACAACACCTTATGAACCAAAGAGAGGCTTGCCCTTAGCTGTGAATCCAGTGTGTTAAGGTGATTTGTGAAACCAGTTGCTGTGAACTTTGAGGTCACCCACATATGCTTATCTTTTTAATTGTGACTATTACATTCAGCTCTTTCTAAATTAAAGCAAATATATAATTTCTAGATAAAAATGTATCTAAATGAATTTCTAAATTTTAAAAATGTCTGCTACCAGTGACCATTTAATTAATGGTTATAAAATAGAATCATTCTTTTCTGAGGATAGTTGTTAAATAACTATGTAACCGTTAATTGGATGTTCACTGTCAGTTGTCTGTTATGAAAAATATTAATTTTTTGTGGCAATTAATGCAACAATTTCCAAATTGCCTATGCTGTGCTCTGTCTTTGATTTCTAATTGCAAGTAAAATTAAGTATTTCAGAACAAAGTACAATTTCGCATACAAGAAAATGTTTCCAAGGAAACATTTTATAATTAAAAGTTACATTTAATTTTAACACTGTTTCTAAGCAAATATAATTAGCTCCATAAAGCACAAATGAAGAAAGTCAAATAATTTTTTACTGTGTCAGGAAAAGAAAGCCAAAGATGGTTTGCAAAACTTTTTAAAGGCCCTTTCACTAAAATAGCTTCTTTTTGGTGCTGGATACTGTGCTACTGGATATAGAAAGCGAGAGTATTCAGTAACCATTTATATCACTCATGCCTGAGACAGGTGTCCAGACTCCACCAATGAATCAACATGCTGTTCTTACTTAAATATTTAAACTATGTTCCTAACAAAATAAGATGTTAGGATGGAGCTCTGGTTAAAGCCACTCTCGCTGTGCACGGATCTGTTCTATCTGCTTTTAATAGTAACTTTCATGATTATAGCAATTAATGTTTGAACAAAGCCCGAATTATACAGCAGTGGGTCATGTGCTTCGTTATTCAAGAATGAAAAATATAGTATTGGCAGTATGTTAAATATACCAAAAAAAAAAAAACAAAAAAAAACAAAAAACAGTTTTACTCTTTATTTTAGTGCTTATGTTAAATTTCAAAATGGAATTTTAAAATATATTTTTCTGTTATTGCCATATAATATTTTTGCATTTCTCTATTTTTATAATCAGCAAATAACACCATGTAAATTCATTTATCTCTGATTTGTAGCATATTTTCATATGAATTCATAAGTCGTAAGTCTTTAAGTAACAATCTATGGCACATTTCTATGACAAATACAAGATCTAGAAAAATAAAATGTTTTTATTATACACTTTTAGAAATGAACATTTACCAAAAAAAATCTACATGATTAAATAATAGCAAATAAAATGTTATAAAGTATTTTAAACAACATGATCTTTTGCTGCCTCTTTTGTAAATACAGTCTCATGTCAACCATTTAGATTTTGAGGTGGAGCAGTTTGGGTTAATTCTACAGTGAATTCCATTCAAACGTATACATAATGCTAGCTGAGATCTAATGAGGGTAATGGCAGTGCAGTTATTTAAATGTTTTACTTCTTGTTCCTCTTGTCCAGGTTTCCCTATTGAGTTCAACTCTACTCTGCCAAATGTGTCTTTCGCTGGGCACGGGCCAGGTTTTTTATGATGGCTCACGGGCAGAGATAAATGGAAAATGGCAGCCTACCATCGAAGGTGCCAACTTCACTATACAAAACATCCATGTCACTTAATATTATTCCTTCGATAGTTGGGAGATATTAAGGACTCAAATAAACTGACTCGCTTTTGTCACCATGGGGGCATTTTACCTTTTGGACTTGGTAACAGCTTAGCAAAGAGTTCAAGCTGTCCAGAAAAACATTTGCTAGGGTCATGTAGATGCCATCATAATGTATTACCCCTCTCTCAATATAATGAGAGATTTTTACTCTGGTAGTTCATCAGTCCTTTGGGAATTTTATGAAAAGACATCCAGGGCATATATGCCTCTTCAAGATACTTACTGCCAGGCAGAAATTCTCTTTAGTAGAGATTAAAGCAAAAAGTAGTTCATGACCTTTGCATCCTCCTCTGAGAAGGAGTGGACACAGTGCCGTAGCCCTTCTCTGGGACACTGCAGGGAACTACGAGTAGCCAGGCTTTGAGTAAGGCCACGGCAACCCATGATCTTACCACAGTTTGTTCCTCACACACATTTCTTTCTGTTGTGTCTGCTTTCTGCTTTATACTGAGAAGCTTTTCTTATCCACGTTGTTTACAGGAAACATATCCTATAAACATTTCAATTTCACATGTGTGGCTTCAAGATTGACACAGAATAGAGGAAGAAAATATTAACTGTTTGTGGCAATTAATGCAACAATTTCCAGATTGCTGTCTGTGTGTTCCTGTCTTTCTATTTCCCTGCCTTCTTTATTTTACTACTATTGATGAATTCAAGTTTATATACTGCTGACGGTTTTCGAAAATCACGTTATTCCATCCAGCAAGAGACCACAAGCCACTGGCCCTGACACACACATTTTCATGGCTCCTTCAGGCATGAATGAAAATTTAGGACCAGACCAAGGAGTCCAGTTAGTGAGTGTTTCCTAGGTCTAAGAAGCTGTACTAAATATTCTACATAAGCAATAGTTAATTTTACGTGTCTACTTGGCTGGGCCACAGCACCCAGATACTTGACTAAGCATCACTCTTGATGTTTTCAGGGTGTTTATGGATGCGGTTCACATTTAAATTGGTAGGCTATGAGTAAAGCAGATGGCTCTCCATAATGTGGGTGAGCCTTATCCAATCAGTTGAAGGCCTGAATAACACGAAAGGCCGACCTTCCCTTAGCAAGAGGGGATTCTCCCTCAGAGGGCCTTGGGGCTGCTTCTGCAACATTGACTCCTTCCGGTTCTACAGCAGACTGGCTTTGCCTTCAAACTGTCGCTCTCTCCTGAGTCTCTAACGGGCTAGCCTCTCCTCTCATATTTTGGACTCTCCAAACATCCACAATCACAGGAGCCAATTCCTTAAAATGAAAATCTTTACACACATACACTCACACGTGCACGCACACACACACCCTATTGGTTCTGTTTCTCTGGAAAACTCTCGCTGATAAAACATATACCATCGCGTTTGAATGTTTAAATGATCAAAGGTGGGGCCTGTTGGTTTCTTCCCCATTGACAAATTAGTACATGGGTTTTCAAAAAGTGTGAGTAACTTGTTCCAGGTCTCACAGCCAATTAGGTACTCTGCTAGGTATGTTCGTTATGTCTGTTATATCATCCTCTTTCTCGCTTTTGTTCATTCGGCCATTCATTTATTAAAAAAAAAAAAAATTTATCAAGCAACCACCATGTACCAGGCACTGGGCTAAGGGCTGAGGGTGTGAACGCGAGTGATGGAAGTTTCCTAAATCCCCGCCACTTACAGGCTGCGGGGGAAATGGGCATGCGACAGTTATCACGGCACATGTGGTGAGCGCTAGGAAAACAATCTTGAGAGAAGGGGCATCTAAAAGATCCTCCCTTGACAAGATGATAAATTAAGCCAAGTTTTTGGCTCATAAAAGTAGTTCCTAAATAGGTAGTGAGAAAAGGGCACCTCAAACAGTGAAAGTAAAAAGCAAAGCACAGAGGTGTGAAAAGTCTGGGATGTTCAGAAAACTCCAAGAGCTTCGAATTCGCTAGAACAAGAGAAACACGTGCTGGGAGGTGAGAGAGAGAGAGACGATTTGAATTATTTTAGGATCCCTCAGGGAGTCACGATCAGCATTTTGTTTATTCATTCATTCAAAAACGTTCAGTACCTCATTTGTGCCAAGCGCTTGCTAGTTAACGGTGATTGAGCTAAGAATAAGACACGTGGTTCCTACCTCACTGAGCTTATATCTTAGTGGAAGACACAAAAAGCAAGCAAACAAACTGCAAATTACGGTAAGTGCTTTGGCAGTAACAACAAGGGCCTGGGGTAGAGATGAGGAGGACACTCATTCTTCATAGGGTGGGCTGGGGTGTCCTGGAGCATGGCAAGGAGCCGACCACACAAACATTGGGGAGGAGTGTGTTCCAGAAATGGAAACAGCAAGTGCAAAGGCCCGGGAGTGAAACGTAGTCTGACTTATTTAAATGACTAAACGGGTAGATCAAGGCAGGGAAGGAGAAGGCAATGTCCAGAATCCATAGACACGGTGGACTAGAAGCAGCTTCCCAGGCGTCCTTGAGACTTTTGTCCCCTCTTCCACAGTAACAATTGCAATCGTTCCTTTCTATATAGATAATGCCAACTTTTTTCATACTTACTTAATCCAGAACAAATTTTCCTAGCGTTTTAAAACTCCATCAGCCAAAAAAGAAATCAAAATTAAAATGTAGATAAAACACCTCATTTAAGCACCAAGTAATTTTGTCAGAATACAGGTTATTAACCCCATTCCACAGATGGAAAAAAACAAGGCTGGAAGAGTTTATGTGATTTACCCAAGACTATACATTGTATTCAAACCCTGTGCTGCATTCACCCAGGACACAGTCCGCAGTGCCTGTTCCTCATCTTCGCTTGAGCCTCTCAGATCTTCCTACTAATATCAAAATAGTTAATGATTTTACACACAGGTTATTTGAATCTGGATGTCCCACTTGCCAAGTGCATGGACTCAGATACATTAACTAGACTACCGACCCTCAATTTCCTCATCTACAAAATGGAGAAGATAGTAGTCTTGCATTTAATAAGTTAGATATAATTATAATTTCTATTGCTATTATTTAGGGGCATAGAAACTTCAAATACAGTTTTAAAGAGATAAAAGGTCACCAACAAAAATCTATATTTACTATGCTCCAAATCCGACTGTTGTAGTAGTAACTGGTGGTATGACTTCCTCTGTTAACATTCATCACCTGTAGCCACAGGGGAAAAGTCATCTCACGGAGCTGGAAGATCGATATTTTTTTAAAAAGAAAATAGGAGAACCAATTCTGACCCCCAAAAAAATCCCAATAAACATTAACGTATATAAACATATACATAATTATCTCATTATATATATATATATATATATAAAATAATCTCATTTTACTTCCTCAACTCTTTTTTTTTATTAAGAAGAAATTTAAAGACAAAGCAGTTAAGTGACTTATGTAAACAGATATGTTTAACTGGTACCATATTTGGAAACGAAGCCCAGCTGACTTGATTTTCAGTCGGTGTCCACTCTTCCAGATCATTTTGCTAAACAGGTATTACATATTTTTCTACAATATGGATATTTGGAAATGCATTATTCACTTTTAGTGGCCTTAGGGTCCCAGTAATAGCCTGAAGAAATGTAATAACTGTTGTCTGAATGCGTTAAGATATTACCCCTAGAAATGAGTCTTTACCTGGCAGGATCTGATCTACTTCTATCTATCCTTTGAAGTTAATTCAATTAACAGGAAGCCATTAGACACACTATTATCTACCCAAAGCTGTAACTTTTCCTCTTACCCACAGATGCACAAGATTCAGCAAACTGCCTGCAGAGTAAAAAGCTGGTCCAGATCTTAATGATTCTGTGAGGTTCGTGTAGACTAGCTCTCTCTTTTGTTAATTAATATGATAACATTAATTAATATGGTACCTCTTTTATTAATTAATATGAATTTTCTGTTTACATTTTTTAAATTACAGATAGCATCTTTAAATTGAATAGTCCTATTCGGGTTGGAAAGAAGCATATCTGACTGTGCCTTTGGGTGCGTTAGCCTTTTATTAACTAATCTAGAACACTTATAAACTCTAGATGGGTTTCATCATATATGAATACATTGAAGGACAATTGTAATTGTCTTTCATTGTATCCATCTATACTATTCTTCTAATATGCACTATAAACTGCTGTGCCACATGGAAGCCAACTCATTTTGACACTGGATAGTAGTCTATAGTAGCGAGTCACATTGATTAATGTATCTATGTAGCTACTTGTTTACAGAATTTATATAGTGCTTTTCCATATGTCCCTGCCTTCTTTATTTTACTACTATTGATGAATTCAAGTTTATATATTGCTGGCAGTTTTTGAAGATTTGTATTAGTCACCATATGGGTCAAGACCTCCTCTCTTACCACTAATTTTCTTCTATGTGTTTCTATTGAAAATAACCTGCCTGTTAATAGTGCTGGCTTGTTCATCTTTCTTGGTCTTCTGTGATATCCATCTCCATGTAATCTAGGTATTCGGTCAAAGATAAAACACCAAATATGTATATGCATATATATACACATAAAGATGTACATAAATACACATGTTATGTTAAGGTTTAAGATTACCAAAAAGGTTAAGTTTACATATTTTT